AATGAGCTGGATCACTTCTAATTTTCCCAGAAGAAATGGAAGGAAAAAATCCCAATAAATCTAGTTTTCAACCAGAACAGCAAATTGAGCTGTCTCACCCCAAGGCCACATGGTCATGGTCATCAGCACCAACCGCAGAAGAAGCAAACCTTAAAACTGCACATGAAATCTGCAGAGCCCACCCAATAAATTGAACTGGTCTGGTCACCTGCAAAACAACAAATCCAAATTTTGGATGGATTGTTGTTGGATTACCATGATAATCCAAAACCATGTCCACAAAAGCTAATATTGTCACCTTTAAATAGTAAGCCAATGGCGAGAGGCCACCTGGGAAGGCTGGGCACCTTCCACCCTGCAGATCCCACCTCCTGCAAAGTCCTGGAACCAGCAGCCTTCAAGCAGAGCCTGGGCTGAGCTTGCTTTTTGCCTTCCCGCTGGAGCTGAGCCAGCGCAGGGAGGAATTCAAAATTCACAAAGCCATCAAGAGAAAGCACTGGAGGGCAAGTATGACTCCATGAGAAAGAGATTCCCAGGAGAAGGGGCAGAGTCCTGTATTCTGGTCCCTCCTCCAGGAATTGCTCATGCCTACTGCACTGAAGATTAGATAAAGCGTATACACAGCTCCTTTTATACTAAAGCTTGAAAAATACATCCTATGAGCTATGTAAATACACTCAAGAGCCAGTGAGAGCTCTGCCCTAACAGGAGAACAGCATATACCTACCTGTATTCTTGGAAATATTTTTATTTTTGGTGTATAAAAGTAAATCAAAGAGCAAAGCTGAGATCCTCACAGTTATGACTCACTTCTGCCAACCTCATGTTTTGGCAATACAACGGCGCATACACTCTCAAAGGAACCTGTAATAACAGGTCATACAGGGAATTTCAGTAGCCACTTAAGTCCTTAAAGTTACAATTCAGGTGCCCAAAGTTTGACTAGAAGTTGAAAACGCCCAGTAGCTTCCATCTGCTCCAGTAGTGACTCCCTAAAGTCACAGCCCTGCCTGGAGGCAGCCCAGTTTGCCAGCAGACATACAGGGAACAAGGGAATTTCAAGTCTACTTTCTCATTTTCAGCCCTCTGGGACACCAGAGATCATCACACACAAGCCCACCTTGAATACACATCAAAAAGTGGCTTCTATTCATACCTCATATTGCTGAAAAACATGCATTTTAAATCTGGCTCAATTAATTTTATTTTTTTTTTAAGATGTTGGTATTACCATTCTAGTAGACCAATGGAAGAGGAAGCCCTCCTCTTTTCCAGATCCAATTTTAGGCTCACCATCCTGTAGGCAAACTTCAGCTGCAAACTCTGCATTTTGGATAGCTGGGGGCCATAAAGCTCAAAAAAATTTACAAAACGAACAAGGAGGAAAAGCCAACAAGTTTTATATACCTTCCCTGTGAACTTTTGCATGGGAATCCCTCAGGAATCAGCGTGAATGAACGCTACAAAGACACTGCACTGACCAAAACCATCAAGCATCGTGTTGGGTTAGTAGAAAGCACCATCCCATGCACCTGTATATCTAATTTCAGATTGTGTTAGTGTTTTCCTTAGATGCAATTTATGGCTTGTGTTTAAAAAGCTACCATTTGTGATAAAAGGGGTTTTTTGCTTGTTTGTTTGGTTTTTTTTACAAAACCAAGTCCTTCACTAATGTAATAAGCAGTTTTCTGCTTCAAAAAGAAAGTGCTGTTGAATCTGCATCCACGTGGCTGCTTTTTTTTGGTCAAAATACTCACAAAACCCCATGGAAAAATGTAATCTCTGCACTATGTATTTTAGATCCTATTGTACTAGGTGACATTTTAAAAACTGCAAGGAAAATGGAAATACTACAAACATAGAATCATAGAATGGTTTGGGTTGGAAGGGACCTTGAAGATCATTGAGTTCCAACCTGATGTCCCTGTCCCTGACATGGGCAGGGACACCTCCCACTAGACCAGGTTGCTCAAAGCCCCAAACATACATGTTAAAAAAAAAAAAGCCATCAGATTTCAAAATATGATATTTTTACAATTATTTTGGGTGTGAACACCCCTGGCCGCTGCATCAGTGGTACCAACCCGCTCACCAATTGATTTTCAAGAGCAGCGCCTGTATATCTAATTTCAGATTGTGTTAGTGTTTTCCTTAGATGCAATTTATGGCTTGTGTTTAAAAAGCTACCATTTGTGATAAAAGGGGTTTTTTGCTTGTTTGTTTGGTTTTTTTTACAAAACCAAGTCCTTCACTAATGTAATAAGCAGTTTTCTGCTTCAAAAAGAAAGTGCTGTTGAATCTGCATCCACGTGGCTGCTTTTTTTTGGTCAAAATACTCACAAAACCCCATGGAAAAATGTAATCTCTGCACTATGTATTTTAGATCCTATTGTACTAGGTGACATTTTAAAAACTGCAAGGAAAATGGAAATACTACAAACATAGAATCATAGAATGGTTTGGGTTGGAAGGGACCTTGAAGATCATTGAGTTCCAACCTGATGTCCCTGTCCCTGACATGGGCAGGGACACCTCCCACTAGACCAGGTTGCTCAAAGCCCCAAACATACATGTTAAAAAAAAAAAGCCATCAGATTTCAAAACATGATTTTTTTACAATTATTTTGGGTGTGAACACCCCTGGCCGCTGCATCAGTGGTACCAACCCGCTCCCCCAAACCAGTTGATTTTCAAGAGCAGCTATTTCCCTGTCCCACAGGTGGGTACACAATAATGAAACCAAGATCTAAGACTCCTTTCTCCTCAAACAGGGCCTGCTTGTAATGTCTTAGTCAATGAAAATTACTCCAGTGTGCAGCAATTTGATCCACCTGAGGCAATTTGATCCACCGCTTCAATACAGGTCTAACAGTTAACAGTCTAGGGGCTATAAAAATTCGTAACTTCCTTTCCTTTTTATCTGGAATGATAAGAAAACAATGATTTTTTTTGTTTCTGTTGCCCTTCACTTTTTTTATTTAAAAAAAAAAAAAAAAGTCTCTCCTGAAAACATTTTGACGAGCTTACGCTTACCTTTTTTTATTTAAAAAAAAAAAAAAAAAAGTCTCTCCCGAAAACATTTTGACGAGCTTACGCTTCAATAAATGATTTTTCAGAAGATATGCAGTTAATTCACAAAAATACTTGGCAAAAACCTAACGGCGAATATCTAATTCATAGAGCATTCTCCTTTATTTGTTTAATTCAAGTAAAATATTTTCCTCCGCCCTTTCCTTTTCATAGGCTTTTCACACCCACATAACAACCGAGTGACTCTTCCCTGACCCTGCCTCCCACGCCTTTGGGTACAACCGCTCGCTGGAAAGTCACCCCGCTCCCGAGCTCTTCTCCCAACATCCAGAGGAAGCACTTAAGGAAAGGAAATCAAGTACAATGCTAAAACCTTCCTTTTTATTTATTTATAGGTTTTTTTTTTCACCGCTGGGTTTATTTGCAGTTCCGTAGGGACGTGT